CCTGTTTTATGCAAAAAGTCCATAAGGGGTTTCCAGTCAGCAATAAATGTAGATAATGTCTTTCTTCTGATCAAAGAACTCAATTTGGCCATCTCGGCAAGTTCCATCATCTTCACCAACCATTCCTCCATTGTAGGTATTGCCAAATCTTTCCAACTTTGGGCATGCAATAATCTTGCTGCAGTTATATTCAGAAACAAAATTCCATGAGTTTTTTCCAACTGTTTGTCCATCAGTCCCAAAAGAAAAACCTCTGATCTCAGTTGTATCTCAACCTTTAAAATCCTCTGAATCAGTGTATGTATTTGAATCCAAAATGTTCTAACATTTTTAGACATACAGTATATCCCTCTGCCACCAGTTCTTCTCTTGATTTTGTTTTGTATTCCCCTTGACAAAATTATAGTATCTCATGATAAGTTAGCCATTTGTGTTTGCCTATTGTTTCTCACCTGTAAAATGTTTCTTGTGCTGAGAGCCACAAAGATGGTTTTGGGCACAACCTTATTCTCAATATGGCATGTCTAACATAATGATTTTTAAAATTGACATTAACCTTGACTTTATTGTACCACAAATACCTATGCCACCCAAATCTCAGGTCATGTCCTTCTAACTCCACAAACCTTCTATTTCTCAGGAAAGATCATGTGTTTTCAGGTACCAGCTGGCTCTTGCAGGTGTACATTCCATGCATATAGAACTTTACAAATCACCTAGAAGAAAATCCAAGAGTCTTTTACAAAAAAATTGGAATTTAGCAAATGAATTCGTGTATCTTTTTTGTGGTTAGTGAGACCAACTATCTGACTTGCAAAATGTCATATGTGTACAAACCAAACACTTTGAAAGAGGTGCATCACAAAAGATGAGATATGAGTTCCATGAGTTTTTTCCAACTGTTTGTCCATCAGTCCCAAAAGAAAGACTATTGGTCTCAATTGTATCTTAACCTTTAAAATTGTTAAGGTGTGTGTGTGTGGGGGGGGGGGGTTCAGCTTGCATGGCAGCTTCAGGCCCTGTTCTTACTTGTCTCCATGTGTGTATACATAAGCAGCCTTACTAGAAAATTGTGTATGTATGTATGTTCATAATTTCTATAAAATAATAATGTAGGAACATCATATTTACATGTTCAATAAAATGCTTTTGAAAGAGGTGTTACTAGACGAAGCTGATGGCTACTGGACTTTCATTGTAGATACCTTATTGACCTGTAAATAAGGTTTAAAGTCTTATTACATTTCTATATTAATTTTTTGCTGGACTTTGCTCAAGACTTGCCTTTCATTTTCAAAACTGGATTACATTTATTTTTTTACTATACATTTAAATTGCATTACTGTTCTCCAAGGTTTTATGCTGGTAAGATATTTAATCTTTAAAACAAAAATGTTATCTTTCTGCCACTTAAAGAGGGGGATAAGAAAGAAACATGAGGCTTCCCTGTTCCCAAATTATAGCACAGTCTTTATATTATAAAAAGCAATCTTCTTCAAGTCAGCCTTGACTTGTTGACTTCATGAATACATGCAAGTAGTTTTATTAGCAGCAGTATGGAAGTGGTCTGGCATTTCATTTTTCTGGGATTTTTAAAAAACTTACCAGTCTAGCCTGCAGCCCTGAGAATGTTCCAAAAAGATTTATGTTTTAGAGCAGCCACTGACGGCCTTTTTTCTTCCTTTTCCAAATGTGGTAACAGGTAGGACTAATTCAGATATTCTCTTTCAGCCTTGGAAAGTATGGCTGTTTCCACATGAACAGAGACTTGTTTGGAGAGCCAGTTGTGAGGGTCAGGGAAATGTTCAGTGCAGTATGAGGGGCTTGCACTGAAAATAAAAAAACTGCATTGGGAAACCTTGGCTCAGAAGTACACATATAGTCACTTTGATTCCAAGGTTATGGCAATACGTAAGATTACTCCAGTGATCAGAATGTGAACTTCATTCACACAATCTGTTGATATAGAGACGACAACAAAAAAACCCTATATACAGAGATGTAGTAAACATTAATGTGTGCATAGGGTACACACATAATCATTTTATATAATGATTATAATGTATAATGTATACATACACGATAGAAAGATAGATAGATAGATAGATAGATAGATAGATAGATAGATAGATAGATAGATAGTATAATACTTCAGAGGTGACTTGTGTTTTAAAGATATTATATATGAGTGATAGCAAGAAGGTCTGCCCATGAAATCTCAACTAGTCTCAGCAATGGTTACTATTCATCAACATCTAAAGTATCACTGGTTGTCTGTAATAAATCAGCTCCTATTACATCTGGGGCTCAGCTAAAGCCAAATGCAATAATTTTGTGGATTTCAGTGTGCCAGAATGGAAATGATGGTTATACTACTCACATGGATAGACATATGCAGTCAGGCTATACATTTTTTCCTCTGTTGTATAATATATGTAGTATCTGCAATGCATAATACATGAAACGATAGAAAGATGGACAGACAGACAGGCAGATAGATAAATCTATATATATTGCATTTATACCCCATCTTTTCTATGCATATGGAAAGGTCTTCTCTCAATGTATCCTCATATACTACTGTGAAGTAGGTTGGCACAGAGCGAATGTCTGGTCCAAATCCTTGCATGAGTTTCTGGATTTAACCAGGGATTTAAATTGGGTCTACCTAGTCCAACCATTACATGACATCTTACTATTTGTATTTCACATCTGTCCCCCAAACCTCTCCCACAGCTGATTATTCCTAGAATTGAGCTGAAGAAAAAGAAATGCAATTATGTCTTTTCTTGCGTAGTCTTTTCCCCAGCATTGGGCCTTTTAGGAGGAAAATTGTGGTCATGAATAGAATGTGTTAGAAAGGTCAACTTTATATAACTTCTTACCCCATTGCAAAGTTAGAGTCTCCCCTACCCTCAATTATCTAATTAAGATCATTATTTTCCAGCTTTATTGTGATCCCTGTTTCTTCATGGCTTTTGAACAATCTCTGACCAGGATTGTTGAAAGTAGAGGCTGATCTCTGCAGTGGGATCAGTGGGGTGCAAGATTAAAACCTCCCTCCTTTCACTCCAGAGTGATCCTGCATGCGTGACATGATTATTGTGGGTATAATACAGAAAATGAAGAAGTCAGTTCTCCAAGGGCCAGGAACCACTCATGTGATCAGTCTTGGAAGCCCGAGTTTGTGTTTCTACTCTCATTTGGCTTGTTTGCCATCAACCACATTATTGGAGAAGTATATCTGATTATCTGTGTAGCCCTTGTTCAGCACGTAATTTTCTGATTGCCTGATACACTAGGAAAAAGAATGCTTTTTACAGTAAGCAGTGGGAAAGTTGGGAAACAGCATCAGCAAATGTTACAGTGAATGAAGCTTTTCAGAAAGCTCTTTGTATCCCTCTCTTTTAAGAAGGCACCTTTGGCCTAAAAATTAAACCAAGCAGAACTTTGGCTTAGCCTCAAAAACTATGAATATAAGTTTGGTTGGACTTCTATTCAAAGTACTTTGCATGAATATTAGATTTCATGCAATATCTGATTAAGTAATAAGAGTAGTAAATTGGATTAATGCAGAATTTTAAATGCTGCTTTGGCAATGAAAACAAAAGCTAAAATGAAATGGCTTAAAAACAGATAACAAAGGAAATCTTTAAAACAAAAATGTTATCTTCCTATCTGGTTTTTAATGAGGTTGTGGCAATATATCATAAAGCAAGAAGAAAAGTGATGGTAAATGGAAACTTTTGTATTAAAAATGTTCTGTTGCTATATTTTTTTGCAGAAACTTTTGCATGGTTTCACAAAATGAATTAGTAATATAATAAGTAGATATTGTAACATCAAATAGACCCATTTCAAAATTGTAATTCAATCAGTGGGTGGAAGGAGAGTCAAGCTGCCTGCTGGTTTTGCTCCAAATTCCATACATTGTCTGATTCTGCTCCACCCCCACCCCAAGCTCCTAAGCATCGCATGGGGTCTAGGCAGATAATTATCAGGGCATAAAAAGCTATACCCCGACTCCCCTTCCTTACATAAATACTTCTGCCCATACATTTCTATAAATGCTGCTGTTGTATTTATTCCATGGCAATTGGTGTCTTGTTGACAGAAAATTCTACAGAAATGGATAGAGATTGAACCTTGAGGTTAGTTTCAGTATTGGGCACTGAGGAGCACAGAATTGCTCCACTGAGATAGACTTTCTCTGCTTCTGAGTTCTGACAAGACTTCAGAGATCTGTGAGAGATCCAATTATTTTTTTTAAAGGATATAAGAGAAATAAAAATGTAAAAAACTCTGAAACTGAAATGCACTTCTCTCTCTATTTTATATTCAGTGTACTTGAAAAAATGTCTGGAGATATACCGTTAAACATCAATATCAAAGAGCCTCGCTGGGATCAAAGTACATTTGTTGGACGAGCTAGCCACTTCTTCACTGTAACCGATCCTAGGAATATATTGTTATCCAATGAACAATTAGAAAAAGCAAGAAAAATTGTGCATGATTACAGGTATGGTTTGGATTTTCTTCCCCCAATTTTATTCCACTTTCTCTAGATGGGTAACATTATTCTAGGAATATTGTAATAAGATCAGAGAAATAAATTTTCTAGGGAAAATAGTCCTTTTGTAAGTTAATCAATCTACCTTTAAAATTGAGGAGTCTCAATGTTCTGCAGTAATGAACTGGGAGAAAATTGGGAAATTGTGACTCCCAAAATGCTAATCTTTCCACATTGCAAGAATTTTGGAGATGAATAGGAAGCATCAATTTTAGAGAAAACTATGCATATTTTCCTCCAATGATTATGAAACCATGTAGTCTTGATAATTTTCAAAAGAACATATATATGGAAATGGTGATAGAGTTTCTTGTACAGGGATATGATTCACACTAAGCAATCTCCTTAAAGAATATCCTTTAATCTTTTGGAACTAAAATACCTGTAGTATTATATTTATAATTAAGTATTTGTACATATTTCCACTAACCATAAGACAAGGCATTGTGGCCCCTGGGGTGACAGAAGATGAACTATGGAGAGCAAAATATGTCTATGATTCAGCCTTCCATCCGGATACTGGTGAAAAGATGGTTTTGATTGGCCGTATGTCTGCTCAGGTGCCTATGAATATGACAATTACTGGCTGCATGATGACATTTTATAGGTAAGTAATCATAAATTACTAATAAATGATACTTGAGTAGAATAAAGAATTTTTTTGTAAAGACCTGAGGCACTACAGTCCAAGTCAGAGACATACTGTATGTTGAATGTGGCATAAGACGGTTAAAGGGAACATTTTGCCTTTTTACCAACAATTTCCTCATTTGTACTGATTAATACTTTTCTCTAGAGTTAGTTATGACATGAGTTTCAGGTGCTTCTGTCTTTTATCATGACACTTAGAATGAGGTGTCCAAATCCCCATCTTACTAGGAAAACTGTTTAGAGAACTCAACAAAGAGAATTCAGAATGGATTGTTAACAGGTCTGGTGCAGGGGTTGTTGATAGTGAATTGTCAGCTCTGTCTTGAAATGTGTGATTTATCTGAACCTATTTATTCTGTGCTTTATTACTTTTTAATAATAGGGATTTGTACTTCTGGGTGCATGTCTGTATGTGTCCTTGATTTAACAAAGAAGAATTATATTTTCCTAGTCTCTGAACATCTGAAACAGGAAAATTTTGTCTGATAGCCTAGCTTCCTACCAAATATTTCTAAGTGAATTGGAAAAACAGTTAAAACTCTTGTTTACGGTAACAGAGAAGCTGAATAAAACATTATTTTTCTTTCTTTGGAGCAATTCTGAAAGGGCATCCCAGAGGCCTTAGGACGTCACTGGTTTCCCTTGGCAATAAAGGAGATCTGGTTCACTCTTGGGTTAATCTGATCAAAATTATGTTTGAAAGATGAAACTTAATTATCATCTGGATATATTTCATATAAATATGCGAAATGTGTTTCCCTGGCTACTGTATTAGTATCAGATTGAATTCATATCAAAACTTTATAGAAAATTAATTGTCCTTCCCTTCTTCCAAGAACAACTCCAGCAGTGGTCTTCTGGCAATGGATTAATCAGTCATTCAATGCCATTGTAAATTATACCAACAGGAGTGGAGATGCTCCAATCACAGTCAGGTAAAGCCATCAAGATGCACCAAGCAGATGATTCAAGTATGTTGAATAAAATATGTGCTCTAGTTTAGGTCTAATTTGAGGCTTAACATGAACTGCTATAGAAAATATTTGGTAGCTATAATTGCTATGGGATGAAAGTGTGCTGTAAATTACTGTGATATTGTTGAGTCAATATAGTCTTGATGAGGCTAGTCCATTGAATTAATAGAGTGATTATTTGAAAGAACCTCCCACAAAAAGGGGGGGGGAGGAAACAGTGGTAATTATTACCATGATACAGAAAGCAGGGGCCAAATCACTGTAGATTTCAAGTAGTTTCTTCTGAGAATTGCATGCCCTGATCGACAGAGCTCTCTGCTTTTTCTGAATGGCTGTCAGCACTATAATGATAATGGATCCTAAATTGCTTTGTTAAGATTATTATTAAATCTGCAATGTGGTCTTTCATAGAATGGCTTGACGTGACGACCTATAAGCACAAGGTAAACTATAACGAGGAAAAATAGAAGTGATGCTAATTTAGTAACAGTAATCTATAACAAACATCTAGTGCATTTAAAATATTTAAAGCCCTTCACATAAATATTATCAAAATACGAGATGCTACTAGATGCATGACTGCCAAGTTACCTCTGTCTGGTACTAAACACAATTTCTTTGCATGTTGATCATCCCGCAAGATCATTTGCATTGTTAAAAAGACTAATTAGGTCACTAATGCATTCTAGTCATTCATTCTGGATTGCAGCTGATGGGAGTCCAAACACTTCAAACTCATGTGCAACTGACTGTTATAGTTTGTGATGTTTCTAACTTCAGTGAGAGTTTTCTAAATATCCTTTGAATTAAAAATGCAATCTGGTGCCTGGGAACTATAGAAGTGGAAGAGAGAAGGAGATCGCCTAGAGGTGTTAGACAAATGGATAGGAGCTCCATTTACATTTTGGGCAGAGTGGCCAGGAATATATCGCTAGGAAGTAGTGCTCTTTAGCAAGTTGGTGCTCTATGCTTGAGGCAGGGGCATCACCAGAAGTTCACGCTAAGAAATCTTTGTACCCCCTTGATTTCTTTTTTTCCTAGCAGCTCTTCATGGAACTAGTGCCAAGTCAGCACTGAAGGTAGAAAGCATAGGATGAAGCTTTTTTGCTATGCAGAATCTGATCTTCAATGGGAGCACACCTTATAGCCTTGCAGTATCATGAGGCTAGTCTGTCTATTTATGCTCTTGTCAAAACAGCTATTATGTCAGATCACTCTGTTGAAAGTAGGTTTAGACTATTAAGCTACTAGCTGTTTTAAGATCTAGCCAAGTATGGCTGTACAAGCTGCAGACCACACTTGGCCTTTGAGTTACATGCCAGGGGCTACACTCCAAGGAGCCAGGGCCAGAACAAAATGTGACCTAAAAATAGTTAAAATTGAATGAATTAATGCAGTTATTATTATAACGCCCCTCAGAATAATTTCATCCTCTTGCCACATAAGAATTACAATTAGGGGCAAACTTTGGGAGGAGCATTAGGTTCCTCATCAAAGGCTTTTAGGAGCCACACACAGCTCTGGGTCTCAGAGTATACAGCTCTGATGTAGCCAGAGTCATCTGTGATTGTAGTTCACAACCTCTAGCTTTGCATTATTATTATTATTTAAGATTAAGCGGGGAGGGAGTCTATAGAGAAAAACGTGAGCAAAAATATCAGTTATGCCACTTGAGTGACATCACTACATCACTTCATGACTTCCTGCCATTCTTGGGAAGGTTGGGTGTGAACTGCAGCCCCAACTCCTCAGGTGTTTCCCACACTTGACTTAAACTAAAGATGCCTGTGGTTGAACCTGCCACAGAGCCACGGCATTTTAAAGCTCAGTGTAGATATTTCCTTTCTACAAGTGTTAGAAAGGAGTTGTGAAATACAGCTTTTTAAAAAAAATCCCAATAAATGCATAAAACTAATAAAATCACAAATTTTAATATTGGAAAAGAGGAGTTGTGAGGCTAAAATGAAGGAAAACCCGCATCTTATCCACAGCTTTGAATGCCTGCATGATATAAGATATTTCTCTAACTAATGAATAAAACAGTATTAAAAGGTCAACTAATAATTTCAGGAGATCAAATTAAAGAGAAGTATGTGAACTAAATTCCAGAAGAATGAAAATCAATCCTAACTGGAAGGAAGAGTATTTTATCATTTAGAAGTAATGCAGGAAAAGAACATATTTAACTGACCAATTCAGAAGGGATATCAAAAGCTCTTATCCTGAAAAGCTTAATTAGGCAGATTCATAATGAGACAAGTGGGTCCGTTAAGATAACTCAGTGGAAGTAGCATAGTTTTTTTGTTTGTTTTTTTTAAGGGCAATGTCCACCTTCTCCATTGCTTTATCAGTCTCTGCTGTCCTTGGGGAAGGAATCTAGAAACACTAGAAAAGGAAATTTCCCAGCCACCTTAGCTCCCCTAGTTTATCTCTTAGCGAAGTTTGTGTTGCTGCCATAAATAAGGTTGCCTTGTGCCAGTTATGTTTATAGAACATTTATAGTTTATGAGATTTAGAGCACATGATTCTTATACATATATAAACATTCCTATTTTTGTTTTAGCCAGCTGGGAACGGCCTATGTTTCTGCTACCACAGGTGCTGTTGCAACTGCTTTAGGACTTAATGCACTCACAAAGGTATTTCTCTTATTTTCTCCTTGTGTTGAGACTATGAGTCTCAGCTGTGGTGAAAATTTTATATGACAGTTTTTATATGCACTAGGGGTCTCTAATAAAAAAGGAATGCATTTATCTTTATTTGTGATATGATGAGCTCACTGAAACTATATGTTCATGACCTTATTGATCCCCCATGTTGAACTTCATTTGCTTTAACTGAGTAGTAACTTAGGCATACATCTTCCTTGAAGAGAGAAACTAGGTGTCAGAGAGAAAAATTATGTGGTTTTCTATGCCTGTGTTTGTATATGTGCATTTTATATATTTATATATTTTGCATATATTTATACAAATATAAATAGCAAATAAATGTGTTGCCAGACAGAATTCCTCAATGAGAATGTAATTTTAATTCGTACAGAAAATACGTAAGCGGCTGATGCCTAGAAATACTGAGTACAATTGGCTTTTGCGTGTCACATTAAATTCCTTGAAATCCTCCTCCAAATTTCTCCCTAGAAAGTGCTTGTGATGTATACAGGGTCTGTAGCTTTGCTGTCCACTTCATGAATCTGATAAAAAAGAATCTTCCCTGCAAAAAAATTCACCTGAGTAAATTGTTGCTCCTGAACCGACCAAAGTAGCATGCTTCTAAAATCTGTCACAAAGTTGCTGTAGGTTTTTTCTGGAAAGAGGAACTGTTACTGAAAGTTACTTGAAAGAAAACTGATCCTGCTTTCTGGGTTGATTGACAGTGCAGTGTGTCTGTTTTCAGAAAAATGCGGTGGGGGAAACTATCCTCAATTTCTTTTAAGGCACAATACTTAAATACATTATCGAGAGACACAGTTACAGCACATTCTCTGCTCTTTTGACGTACAGTCTTCAGCCGGCTCATCATGAAATATTGTTACTGTTAGATCTTTCAATGCTGTCCTTCATGACTTAAGTCAAAACTCTAAGGAAATATTAACCAGAGTTAGTCCATTTTCAGGTGACGCTCTCTCTCTTTTTCCACAGCATGTTTCACCTCTTATAGGACGTTTTGTTCCTTTTGCTGCTGTAGCTGCTGCAAACTGTATTAATATTCCATTAATGAGGCAAAGGTAAGATAAGCCATAGCATGTGACCTGCAGGGCTCCTTGAGTGTGTGTGTGTGTGTGTGTGTGTGTTTTCAGGTAAACATACGTCATTTTTAAGTTAAACCAAAGAGAATTTTGAGATGTTTGCCCATCTCTAACATTTAGTTTCACTTTCTACAAGAGTTACATTAACTCTAGGTTGCTTATGAAAGAGATTTTTTTTTCAAACTTTGGAAATCAGGGTGGAAGGGCTTCTGAAACATTCCTGTCATTTAGACCTACCAGCAGCACCAACACAAGCATGTGCATGTTTGCAAGGAGCTGCTGCATGTGAGAAGTTGGGAAAGGGGTATTACTACATCAACTTCACATTAAAAAAAAAACAACAACAGTAAGTAGAACATAACGCAACAGCAGAGCTTGCTGTCTGTTTGCAAGGCACTGAAAACCTGGCTTTGCCATCTAGCCTGGGCCCCTGATAGTATGGGTGAACCCATTTCGTGGTTGGTTTGAGTGTTTATGAGTGTTCCCGACTGCTATTTTATGCTATTTCTGTTGTTTTGGTTGTTCTGACTCTTTAATTGTTAGCTGTCCACAGTCATGTATGGGTGGCCATATTAATTATTTAATTAGCTGTTAGTTCATCTATTGAAATTGAGGACCTGACTTTCCATTGATTAAATCTATCTTATTGAATATATCCAAAATCCAACAAATTATAATTAGGAGAACATCTTTTCCTTTCATAGTTGAGCAACATTCTAATGTGAGCTGCTACTTAACTTTGGCAAATGCACATAAGTCACCTGCATTAACAAAATGCCCGTTTTGCTTTCTATTTTCAATATAATATCAAAGATTTGTAAATGAATTTGTATTCCTGAAGAATTTTTATTTTTGCTGCAATGGATTAACAGACCAATCTTTCTGGAATTTGTCACAATCATTTTTGGAATGTTATATTCCTGACAAGGAAGATTTTTCTATCCTTGATGAGATTCTGCAGCTGTCTAAGAAGATTATTTCAGGGGAGAAATGGTACTAACGAAAGAGATTTATAACACTGAATTAGTGAAAGATGACTTTTAGCCACTGCTCTTAGACAATTCTTCCCACTTCTCTTACAAGGTTGATGCACAATACAGATGGCAAATCTGACATGATTACCAGTTCTGTATGCAGAGACTGAGATCTGCCTTTAAAAATGGACTATGAATGTAGCCACAGGATCTTGCCTTTTTTGCTACAGTGATGGAAGCAGCCCCTTGCTGCAATATCACGATGCACAAACAAAAGTGGCAGGCCTTGTGCCACGATAATGTGATGCCATTTTCATCATTCTGCACATCCTGTGGATCCTGCTGAATGTCACACAGTGTAAGACAGGACTATCATTTAAGTTCAAAAATTATTATCAAATACAGCTTGAACCTTGAAAGGACATTGATGTAAGCATTTGGAGCCCTTTAAGAACGAAACCATGATCTTCTTCAGCTCTTTTTTTTTTCCTTTTTCTTTTTTAAAAACCCAACAGGGAACTAAAGTATGGTATTCCCATTACAGACGAAAATGGGAACAGACTGGGTGAATCATCCAAAGCTGCTCAACAGGCCATCGTGCAAGTTGTGATTTCAAGGATTCTTATGGCTGCTCCAGGAATGGGTGTGTCCAACTTCCATTAAGTTTAATGTTTACATTCGTCTAGCAACTTAAACATTAGAACTACTTCTAACAATGTTGTGCTCACCTACAGAAAACTAGTTGACAGCTCAAGAGCAGTTATTCTAGCTTCTTTACCAATTCTGCTTATCAGTAAGGCTGTAGAGGAACATTTGTTACAAACAAGTGTATAAGTATGTATATATGTATGTGTGTGTATTTGTTTGTGGTTTACCAAAAGTCAGGACCCATAGGCCAATCACAATATGTTTTACTAATTTTTTTTTCCAAGGGAAAATGTTAATATACTTTTGAATGTTCAAAGGTTGTGTGTCAAACCAATAAGGAAGTTGTTAGAAGGAGATTGCACTTCCAGGGGAGGCACGGCGAGCTAAACATGTCTCTGTGGAGAGCAGGTACGATGAACATGGCAAAGACCAAAGAACTGATGAGTAGACAGTTCTTTGGAGCCTCTGCAGACAAGGAGGACAGAAGAGTGCTCACATGTACTCGGGGCAGCTGTTCCTCATGAGGAGACAACAGGACAGTGATGTCCTGCAGGTTTGAGTGCCAGGAGATGAAGGGATCAATCATCAAGCTGACATCTGTGGCAGAGCCTTTTTAAAGGACACTACGTCCACTAGCCTTGCTTCTAATCACTTTTGGAAATTGTTTATCTAACCATCTTAAAGCTATTAGACTTCTTGTATTATCCTTGTCTCTTCTCTCAAAGTCCTTTTCATCTTTATCATCTTAAAGCTATTAGAGATCTTTGGAATGACAAGTTTGAAAAGCCACCTGCTGAGTCTATCTTCATTTCTGAACAAAAGAAAAATTAACTATACATTTAAGAACTTAAAGAATTTAAAATAAATAGTAAAAAGCTAAATAAGATTTTGAACCAAGAAAGTTATAAACGAATTAAGGGTCCAGACAAATTTGGAATATTGAAACTTTTACTATAAAAGTTTAGAACTATATAAAATAAACAGCTCTTCGTGGGAACCAAAATTATTTTGTCTACTGTAAGTTATAATAGAGATTAAAGACTTCATTATTTAGATTGGACACTAGAGGGGACTGAAGATTCTAGGCAAAAAAAAAAAATCTGCCTTTGGTCTTGATTAGGATTGGGATTTACAAAATGACACAAGACACTATAACATTTGAAATATTAAAGGAGATCTTCAAAGAATAGGGCCAGAAATTAGTAGCCACAATATCAGTAACAATGTCTGCTTTTATGGATAGACTATGTCTAAAGGATGTTAATGAAGGAATGGCAGATGTGAAACAAAATGCTTGATGCAGAAATAGTAGAATCAGAAATATTGGATTAAAAAAAAGTATAGATTACAAGACAGAGAAGGCATTTAAAATGGAAATACAAGTGACAGGCCAAGAGAATTACCTGGATAAGGACTCTTTACTGGATATACAAAAGAAGCTGGCAGAAGTTTTAAAAATTAAAGAGGAAATACAAATGATAACCAAGAGAATGATGTGGGTAATGTCTTTTTATTGAATTTACAAAAGAGGCTCGTTAAAGCATTGAAGAAGCCTATGCAGTGGGACAAAGAATAATTGAAGAGAGATCAAATCCTCTGACAATATTTGAATGAATTAAAGATTAAGATTTTCAGAAGAAAAAGGAAGGAATGTAAAGTTGGTTTATTTGATCAAGGTTAAAATAAGACCTGTTTCTATAAAGCTCAGGGAATCCTTTACAGATTTTTGCTGAGACCAGGATTGAAAAGTACATATTTGATGGATTTGCTTATAGTTAAGGGATGGGTTATGGGAAGAAGAGATATCTGTTTGTAACCTTATATGGGGTGAAGAGCTACCAAACTTGTTTAGACTTGTTGTGATAAATGGCACTCAATTCAAATATTTATTGTAATTTATATATAAATTGTGTGTGGAAGCTGACTTTTGGTACACCATACATATATGCATATATACACACATATACATACATATATACATACGTGCATATATCGCCACTATACATGGCTTGTGAAATACCTTGTATCCAGAACTCTAGATGGCAGTCTAATACTCCTAAAAGTCTATTGTTTAGTTTCCAGGATTTTAATACCATAAGAGTCTTCTGCATCACTATCCACTATCTATATTTCATCTCTTTATACATATGTACTCATGGATGAGCCCATCTGCAGATAAGCTGACCCTCAAATTTTTAACCAAAATACCATGAAAAATGCGTCACCCACAGATAAGACAACCCTCAAAATGTTTGTATGTTTTTTTCAATATATTCTGAAAGACTTCATTTGTTTTCATATTTTGAATCAATAAATTTTGTTTTCCAGAACAGATTCCATTTCAAATACTCACAATTGGCTTATCCATGGGTGGCACATTTCTCATGGAACTTTGGTTCAGCTTATCTGCAAGTATATACGGGTACTTTAAAAAAGTATTGTCATATATACTCACAGATAAGCTAAACCCAATTTTTGGGGTGTATTTTGGAGCCTAAAATTCTCAACTTATCTGCAAGTATATACGGTATATATTTATTTGTATATAGATATGTTTATCTGTGTGTGAGAGATTTATTTATTTATTTATTTTGTTAGTTAGTTAGTTAGTTAAAAGATTTGTATAGCTACCCATTTCATGCAGCATAATCCTGAGCAGCTCACAAGCAATAATAAAACAGTAAAAACAGTAAAAGAAACATAAAAGCCAACAAAAAACTTCTCAGCGCTTCAAACACAACACATCTCCACACATCCAGAACAAACTTTAGAGCCCAATTGTTTATATTTATTTAGCCCAAATCAATCAACTGCAAGATGAAGGCAATTTCATTGAAAGTTCTGGACCACAGCCTACCATGCTGGTCCAGTGAGGACTGTTAGATAGACATTTTTCAACTTCCCAGTCTAGGCTGAGAAAAATGACTGGCCCAAAGTCATCCAGATAGCTTCCATGCATAAAGGAAGACTAGAACCTGGATTTCCTCACTCCTAGTCCAGCACTTTTAACCACTATACCATACTTGTGTTCCCATATTCATATACATCTACACTTACATACACACAAATATATATGTATAAATAAATTTTAAATACTAATACTGAGCCTATTTAGGGATAAGACTTCTCACTGCTATTAGAAGCTGCTCTATAGATAGGATTTGCTAAAGGTTCTGTTCTGTCTGCCTATTGAAGAAATGTATAACTGTTAAGCCATCTATCCAAATATTTTTCTTCCTAAGGCAACATACAACAAACATGAAATTATTAAGCACATGACTTTTGCTTACTGTCTTATAGCCATTCCCCCGTTCATAATGAATACTTTGGAAAAGAAGGCATTTTTAAAGGTAAGCCTATGCTCCCAAAGAGATTTCTTTCCTGAATCAGTTTATTTATTTTATTTATTTTAAAAGATTTATATGCCCCCCCCCATCTTAAACAACTCTGGGTGGCTAACAACGATAAAACCAGTAACTGTAAAACAACCATAAAACAATAAAACAGTAAAACGGTAGTGCTTCAAGTATTACAATAGAGCCTCTTGAAATGCATGCTGCAGTAAAATCTGTAACTATTCCCTCTCATTTTCTAGGAAACATTTTGTCTGTGGACACATTCAGAAAAATCTTAACACTTTAATCATTCCATTGTATGAGTTAGATCTAGTCCATTCTTTTAATAAACAGTAATCATACCTTATTTACTGTTTCTGGAGGGGCAACTAAAGTACAGGAGCTTCCCACCCCAAATGAAAAACCTATCTTTCAGACATATTTCAAAGCTGATACACATAAAACAACTACAAAGTGGAAGCTTGACTAAGATTAGATTGATACTGATGTCATCTGCTGTCAAACAGCATAACCTATTGCCACTCAAACAGGGAACTTTCTCTGTACCGCCGCAAACATCTTTGGGGGAAGTAGGTGAGAAGAAAATGCCTAAAATACAAGGTGGGTTGCTGTGTGCAAGAGGCTTGAACTTGCCTCTTCAATTATTTGGCCCTTTTTTTGTTAATATCAACAGGAGTAAGATACTAGATGTTGAGGTTAAATGATAGTATTTCATCAGTTTAATCTAATTGTCTACATAAATTAGGAACTGCAGCCTGACTGCCGTGTAAGTACTTGAGAATTTTGTTCAAGTTCCAATTTCTTTCACTTCAAATACTAAAATTCAATGCCCACTGACCACTTTGTAATGATACTTATTCTTAACCTGGTTTTCTCATTAATTACTGTTTAATTCCTAGACATTATTATATGGAAGGCTTGCAAAGATAATGTAAGTATACTGATGACTAATAGCTGAAAATGCAAAGGATCTGCAAAGTCTAGTAATAAAAATCAAGGAGCACAGTGAAAAAAAAGGAAGTAAAGAAGTATATAAAAAATATAAAGAAGATCATATTAATGACAACAGGCACAACAACTCAGTCTTAGAATTGTCAATGAAGATATCGAAGTGATAAATAGCTTTTGGCTTTTACAATCATCCATCAATGGTAAAGGAACAGTCAAGAAATATTCCACAGACTGGCACTTGATTGAGTAGACATGAAGACCTTGGAAAAGATATTCAGATGCCATGATGTGTCTATACCTACAAAATCAGAATAGGGCAAGCCATAGCATTCCCTGTGACACTAAGTGAAAGTTGGAAGGGTATTGAAGCTTTTAAACTTTGGTGTTGGAGAAGACTCCTGAGAATGGACAGACAAGAGAACAAACTAATGGATCATAGAACAAATCAACCCAGAGTTCTCTCTCACACAAATGGCCAGGTTCAAATTATCCTACCTTGGACACATTATGCCAAGACCTAACTCTCTGGAGAAGGCTCTAATAATAGAATATAGATTAAGTGTAAAAAAAAAAAGTTAATTAGGATTAACGGGGAATATTTTAAAGATTTTAACATTTCTCATAAGCAGTTGCAAAATGTGAAAGAGTTGATTTATTACTATCAGTAATTACTGTCACTTAATGTACATTTTATGATTTATAATCAGTGTGAGTTTGAGTAAAGTCTACATTCAGTTGAGCTGGATTCCTGGTGATCCAATGGAGACATCAATGAAGGATTCTGGCAACAATACAGAAGTGGCTTGCTATTTCCTTCTTCAGGGATGTTTTCCAGATTGAATTGCCCATTAAATTATAGTTAATATGTTTTTTAAATTTCTAATGCAGTTTTGAACAACATCTTTAAAATACATTGCTGTGAGAACTCAGGTAAATTATATATAATAGACAAAATATTTTCCAAACACCTATCAAATATTAGTCATGTAATATAAGCCATCATTATTCCTACTTTACAACAAGATGATAACTTTTCTAAAATGACCTGGGGAGATTCATTCATTCATTCATTCATTTATTCATTCATTCATTCAAATGTATATGGCCATCCATCTTAATCAAATAACTCTAGGCAGCTACCAAGCATAAAACCAAGTACACACTTATAAAAACAATAGAAAATAAAGAATAAAGATGCCAGGTAAAAGAAATATCCTCAATTAACCAAGGCCAGAACACAAACCAGGCTCTTTTAACATCCTGGTCCTAAAGCCTGAGGCTTACTGGCTCACTCTGACTTGTTAGCATATTCTTATTCTCCACAGCTTACTTTGTAGCAAGTTGCCTTAGATTAAGTGGAAGTATACTTAGAAGAATATGTGTGGAGCTCAACATTTTGTGATAGATTTACTTTCAGCACATTGTTTTGTAATCATCACTATTGCATTTGATTTGTAATGGTTATGAGTAAAGATGAATGAGGTGGGGGGGGGAGAGAAATTGGAAGCATTCAGGAGTTTATTCCGTTGTTTTTCTCCCATTCCTTTCTTATTTTTCCTGAAGAATTAGGGGAAATGATTATTTTTGAATAATTAGGCTTTTTTAATTGAATCATTATACAGTAATTCATTTCAATGTTAATGCTAAGTATATGAGGTATTTCTGCCTCCAGAAAAGCTGCCAAATATTTCCTTTTGTTTTCAGGCTTCACAATGTCCGTAACTTTTACATTTCTAGTTATTTGAAGATAATTTCTGTCCGCATACATTTTTGCTGCAAGAAATAATAAAAAGAGGAGACTGCCATGTTCAGCTAAAACTCCACTGCTTGCTCTGGAATGTAATGCAAGGCGTTCTAATTTAGCAGCTTTTATACCTGAACCAACCCATCATTCACTGTTCCATGTCCTCTGACACACTCTTGACTCTCCTTGTGACTTTCTGGTCCTCCCCCTTCCCTTCTCTGCTTCATTGACTGTGTGTTCAGGTGAATCATTGCTCTTCGGTTAGTTAATTATAAGACTTGATATTGATCAGTTCTAAATCCATTGAGCAATGGATTGCCCTTTTTTTTTTTTTTTTACAAGCAGCTTATGCAAGCTCATTGCTTGCATCTACTGTTAACAAGTCACTTCATTAAAGCATTACAGTCTTCATCTGGTAATTTTCCATTACCTAACTATTATTTGTTAACCTCTGAAAAACTGTTCCAAAGGCTTTGAAAAAAGGCAAAGATTATGTATCAAAGTGTATTTCTAGGACCACAATCACAAAAATAACATCTTTCTTCTCATGACTTGAAGAACTCCAGCAATTCTTCTTGTACTTCTTACATGACTTCTTAAATTTCATCATTGTGAACCTTATTGAGTATAAAGCTGCTGAAGCTTCTCAAATATAAATTCCAGCAAAATTACTTGGGCTTTCTTTGAAATATTTTTAAGCCAAAAGCATTGAGAAACATCATATTTTACATTATCTGTATGGTAAAACCTGAGTGTATAATTTCGACACCAATTTTCCCCTGCTAATTGGACTCTAGCCTCTGTGACCCATGCGTGTTCTACATTCTGCCTTTTTTAGTTCCATTGTTTCTTCTTTAGCAACAGTTCTAAACCGAGATGTAAATTTTATCCATGTAATGTTTATTCCTTAACTGCTTCAAGGCATATTAGACAAATCAGCACAGGCTCTGGTAAGGGCAAGAAGAATGATCAGGGGACTAGAAACAAAACCTTCTGAAGAAATATGAAGCAGGTGAGAATGTTATACCTTGAGTAAAGATGAGTGAAGGAGAATATTATAGCTGTCTTCAAATACCTGATAGGATGTTATATAAAATGTCAAGGCCTGAAGTCCAGAATGCAGGTCACAGAATAATGGATTTAAGGTACAAGAAAGCAGGTTCTGTTGGACTGTTGGCAGAAACAGTTATAGTAGTTTGACATTAGAACCAATTACCCAGAGAGATTGTAGACCCTTGGGTTCAAGAGGAAGCTAGGCAACCATCTGTTTTAATCTGGATTCCTGGATTGGGCTCAGTGGCCTAAATGGCCCTTCCTTCTAACATGATGATGCTGTAATTCTAGATTTTGGTTAAATGCAAATATTTTGTTTACCTTAGAACATTCTTCAGAGATCATCTAGCAATGAAAAGAAAGCTGTTACTGAGAAATAACTACTTGTAGAAAGTTTTAGAGATGTAAAATGCAATATTAAGTCTTTTCAAAGAACTGTCTCTTTAACAGTGGTGATCTGGCAGATACCTCAGATAATATCTTAGCATCCACCATCCTGTCTTATATCTATCTATCTATCTATCTATCTATCTATCTATCTATCTATCTATCTATCTATCTTCTACCCCACTGCAATCAAACAACTCTTGGCAGCATACACAGAATACAAGACAAATGAGAACATCCTTGCACTGTCTAAAACCAATCATAATCACAATTGCACAATTGTAGCATAAACTCCAAACAAGGACCATCAAAAACAACATAAATAAAATATCACAATAAAATAAGGATAAAAAATAGAAAGTAGGGAAAGAACAAATAAAAGATGGGATTTTATGTAAACTTTAAAGGATGCCTTCCAAACTGGTTCAGTCTTCCACATTTTCCTAAAAACCAGGAAGGATGGGTCTCTCCTGATCTCTGTCAGGAAGTTGTTCCAAAGCACCAGTGCTGCCACAGAAAAGCAGTGCTTTTCTGCTTCAGCTCCCCAAACCTCTCAGAAATGTAGGACTTTGAGTAGCTTTTTCCTGAATATTCTAATAGATAAGTGCACCAAGAACCAGTAAATACATAGGCCACTATGTTTTAGACCAGTTGCAATTTCTGGGTAGTCTTTAAGTCAGCCCCATGTAAATTGAATTGCAGTAGTCTAACTGGTGGTAATGTCACCGTAGCCAGGTCCTCCTTCACCAGGTAAGGCCACAGCTAGCACACCACCTACTGTTCAACCTGCTAATCAGGCAGGAGCTGTGAGTCCTGAAAATTAGATCTCATGAACCTACTTCTTTTTTATCTGCCCTCAAAGGACAACAGTAGTGGCAACAGAAAACCCAAATGTATCAGTAGTTACTCCATCTTACTTGGGGTCAACTTTAGCCTGGTCTCTCTCATCCAGACCCTCACAGCCTCCAGGGACCAGGAAAGGACATCAATAGCATCTCCATTACAGCCTGGGGTAATAATATACAATTAGGCATTATCAACATACTTATGGTACTATACCTGAAACTGTTGGTTGACCTCATCCAGCAGCTTCACATAGATGTTAAAGAGCAGGAGCAACAGGACCAATCCCTGTGACTGATCACTGGGCTGGCATCTCCTCTCCCATCACTGAACTGAATTGTCCAAAACCACCATTAATATCCACAGCCTCATTCACCTCCCATGACCAGCTGCTCATCAGGCACCAAACAGAACTGCCCACCAGAGGACTGGGGAATTCCCCTTTGAAACTAACTGGATCCATTAGGTGCCTGGAGAGGACAATCCAAAAAGGTCTCACCAACCCATGGAGGTCATGGGTGGCTAGCAAGCCTAACTAGATCTGACCACAACAGTAGAATGATAGAAATCCACTCCATCTCCAGATCACCCAACAACAGCTCAGAGACAATACTGAGATTTAAAATATGATTGTCTATATGTGTCAGTCCCAAGATTACTTAAGACAAGCCTATGATTGCCATTTAGCTTCAATGGAGCCAGCCTCTAGGGCAGGAAGGTTGAGGTTCCTCAAACACCACAAGGCAGGAATTCACCACCAGCCTGAAAACCAGCTCTTGGAACTTAGCAAGGGATCCTGCTGGAGAGCAGGAGACTTGGTATACCAGCAAGATCCCAAGCTTATCTTTGTAGCCCAACTTAATAAACAGGCATTTGCATTTCAGTATCTCAACAGAAGAGTCCATGATAAGTTATACTTAACTTACTTATACTTAGCTTACACACATATACATACACACACACAGATATAATAAATGTGTGTGTACTTAACGTATGTATAATCATAAGTTATCCCTCATGATCAAAGCCACCCTACCCCAACCATGGCATTGAGGGTGATGAAGGATCCAATAGCTAGCCAGGCAGATCTCTGAGAAGGCAACCAAGTCAGGTTTTCACAATATGTGCAAGATCCGCTGCTTCATCCAGCACTAAGCCATCTTTACATCTGATTCTTCACAATAGTTTTGATTATAGAACTTTCATTCTTATCTGTTAACCCAGTAGCCATTATGAATTGTCTAATTTTTTAAGAATATCAACCTGCTGTATTTGAAATTGTCATGGGGCTGTAGTCATTCCCAACCTGATGCATACAGAGGTGTTGGAATTGCATCTCCCAGAGTCTCCATGCTGATTAATATCTACTCTCTGCCCTGCTCTCTCCACCCTGTACCTTATACACAGGATTGTTCAGTTAAGCTAATCACCACCATCACAGCTTTCTTCCTTCTATTATAAATTTGCCGAGTTCTTTAAATAAGCTTACCAGACACACCAGAGAAACCACATAAAAGAATTGTTTTATTCATTCAAGAATTCATTATTTCTAGTTCAGGCGCAAAATTCTTGACAACTAAATTATATTGTGTTTTTATACTGCTTTTGTGTCTTTCTGTATTCCCTTTTTCTTGGTTCAATTATACTTCCTGCATTTTCAACTTCTAGCTAGTTTTTAGCAAGCATGTAGATGTTCTTCAAACACATCATATAAAATTAACTCTTATTTGTGGTTCTGCATCTAATTTAATGTGAATTTTATGGTCTAATCATCTATAAATAATCTGGTTAAATCAAAATTGTTTAACTGCCATATTTAACAATACCTTCTGGAATAATATGTTACATTTTGAGTAAACAATTTTTAAAGGGCAGCTTAGAATCTATAAAACGCTTAAGTTAAAATATCCAAGTCTATAAAATACAAAATTGGGTACCATGGTGAAAGATAGGATGCGTACGCAATACCAAATAAAATGCTAAAACAATATGAAACACAAAAGTGAATGGAGAGCTTTTTAGCAAAAAACATAGCTTTGTTTCTCCCTGATCCCTTCTCTGACTTCTTCAACACTATCTAGTCCCAGTACCATCTTTATTTATAATTTCCATTTGTTTCTCTTAGCTTTGTTTAACACAACATTTTGCTCCTGCCAGTGATAACAGTTTGTAAAATGTTTTTTTACTAGAAAAGTCTACATATATACATACGTACCCATTATCCTTTTGGGATAAGTGACGTTCTGCAGAGTGCAAAAAAAAGAAAAAAAAGACTAAGAAAAGCATACCATATATGCTCACGGTTAAGCCCATCTGCGGATAAACCACCCCTTGGATTTTTAATCAAAATACCATGAAAAATGTGCCACCTGCAGATAAGCCAACCCTCAAAATTTTCAAATCTTTTGATTTTCACAATTGGCTTATCTGCAGGTGGTGCATTTTTCATGGTATTTTGATTAAAAATCCAAGGGTCGGCTTATCCACAGATGGGCTTATCCGCAAGTATATATGGGATATACAGATACTTTAAAAAAGCATTACCGTATATACTCGTAGATAAGCCCATCTGTGGATAAGCCGAACCCAATTTTTTGGCACCTAAAATTCTTGGCTTATTCACGAGGATATGTGGTAGTTGCACATATCCACTGTAATTCTAACTAATTAACTTTTTTTTTTTCTTTTAGCCATTCTGTATATGGCATGGCTGGAGCAAATCTTTTTTTCAGTAAGAAAGAAAATCCAGTATGAAAAAGTCTCATGGTGGTTAGCCATTGCTTTCAGCTAGAAATCTTATATCGTTTTACAAGTAACTATAGCATTCATGTGTGTTTGTTTGTTTGTAGAAATCCTTTTGCAAGCTTAGTTGATAAATGAATGGAATGTCAATAGAATTTGTAGAAGTTGAAACAATGCATTATATCTTTATATTTTAAAATGTCTAAAGTTGTGCTGATGCTAAGTATTGATCATTGTAAAGGAAGTACAAGAAGTAGAGTTTTTCTGGAGTTTCAGAATAAATTTTGCTAGGGAGGAAATAAATGGCTAAATACATTCTGCTTAAAGAGAAATTTCCCCAGAATGTAGTATCTGCTGAATTTCTAAAGTATCAGTTAAAACAGATGTCCCAATTTCTTTAGGACTTGCAAGTTTAATGTGTGCCTGTCTTAGAATTTGATAATTGTACCATAGAAAGTCCTGGCATTGTTTCTGTCAGTAGAATTTTTCCATTTTTACTGCAGATCTATTCAGATATTTATTATTTACTTTTTTGTACGCTCCCCAATTCCTGAAGGCTCTGGTACTTACTTTCCTTTGTGCTATTTTGTGACTGTAGTAATAGCAGTAATGGTATAGGTAGGCTTACTGATTGCCTCGTTCAGTGACTGTTCAAAGTTATAACAGTGCTGAAAAAAGAACTTTACAACCAATCCCTGGATTTATGACCTTTGCAGCATTCCTCAGTCACTCAGAACACATTGTTTTTCTTCCCCCCCCCCACCTTTGCAGAATGGAGAGATTGAAGAGGAAGGGATTACAAGAGAGTAAGCAGGCACACAATGCAGAATACACCAGCTGTTTGCATAGATTGCTTATGGCTCCCAGCTCCAAGCACACTCAGAGCTAGCGCATTCCTTTTGATGTGCTTACTCTCTTGTAATCTCTTCCTCTCCAATGAATATAAATACAAACATTAATTCCCTTCTTGCTAATTAACCCAGCAACAAGGTGAGCATTTGAAAGGATGGGGAAGTGAGGAAAAGGAAAGCACAGTTGTGGTCATGTGATTTCCCATTCAGTGACTGCTTTGTTTAATGACAGAGCTGCCAGTCCCAGTTGTGGTCGCTAAACAAGGACTACCTGTACTTTTACATTTATAAAAATAAATAAGGTGGTGCTTGACATGAAATCTTATAAAATCAGGATTGGCCTTCCGTAAAGCCTTGAAAACTTGGTTTTGTGAAGAAGCCAGGGCCCTGGGCATGTGATAGAGCCTGCCTCCTGGCTGTGTGGATAACTGGGTGGATGATGCCCAGCTGCTATGTGTTTTATTTTTACTTTTATGTTATGTATTTTATTGTAAGCTGCCAAGAGTCATGTATATGAGATGGGGGCTATATAGCAAAGAAATAAATGAATTCTGTTGGCAGGAAAGGATTTTCACGTAACCACACTGATATGGAAAGCTGCTGATCCAATATTAAAACTTTAGCCTAGATATTAGAAATTCATCCTTTTGCTAAAACATAAAAATATTAAAAGTTTTTTTATTGACTTGGAAGACTTTTTCAGGGAGGGCCTTCCAAATATTACTGAACTACAATTCATTGCTGCTCCACCCAGCATGTTGCAAGCTAGAATTCTGAAGCATCTGGAGGGCTATTGCTGCCATTGTCCACAATGTTTGTTGTACCAAATATAATAAAATATACTTAGCTAAGCCTTCACTCTTCCTATATTTTTGATATCAATAAGATGTTTAAAGTTTGGTATCCAAGAACTTAATTATGTACATAGATTCAGAATGAAGCTATTGTTTTGCTTCTTTTTTAACACAGAGGTTCCCATGGATGAGTGCCCCCATTCAAGTGGGATTAGTGGGTTTCTGGTGAGTAAAAATTCCAGAGGTGACTTATTTTTACTTCTTATACCAATTTTCACCTTTGTGTTATTTGTCTGTTTTAATTCTTGACTTTGTTATAGTGAGGGAGTTCAAGGTTTTAAGGCAAACCATATCAAGAAACCAATGTGATGAGCATTTACTAAACCAGCTACTGAGAGCAAGAGAAAAAGTATGAAGGGAGCTTAAATGTATGTTTGACTTTGGGCTGAAGACAAAGAGATTTAAAAAGCAGAGGGAACAGCATCTCATAGTGTCCGCATCAGGGGGTCAGAATCTGCAAGATAGGCAGTACAACTCCCTTATCCAAGCCCTGCCCTTTTGCACGTGTGTTGATGTCTCATGCATGCAGAAAAAGGGAGGGCCATGGATGTGACACCCCTCCACCTATGCTCAGAAACTTAAAGGCCACAAGAAATAACCTTCTGCTATGTACTGCTTTACCTAAATCTGCCTCAGAGAGTAATGAAAATATGAATTGGGGAAGTTAATTCAGGCCACACTGAGTTCTTGAAGAAGTATATAAATAAAACTATGAAAGAAAAAAAGAGAAGTCCCATAATGAAACAACAGTGTTTGGGTATAATAAAATGGACTGTAGGTGATGACAAGGTTTTGTGCAATAAATTCAGTTGCCACAACAAAAACATCAGACTAAAGTAGGTTTTTCTGGGTAATTATTACTACTGGGCAGGTTGAGTAAACATTACATCCAGAACCACATGATGCCAAGAAACAAAAAACTCCATGTTTGGGTCCTTTAAAATTCCTTTTTGTCTTCCTTTGGCCTCCTCAGATTGGGCTGCTAAATTTTGGTTGTGGGACTGAAGAAACATGGTGGCATAGTGGAGGCAGGAAGTACATCATAAAGTCTTAAAGAGCTTTAACACAAATTAAAAAGTAAAAACTTCCAAACCTGCCCCTCCAAAACAGAAAAGCTCCCCACCCAAACCTAGCTAGCCCTTTGCATTATCATTCTGCTCCTGCAGCTATGAACCCCTGCCCCCATCAAAAACAGTAACGTTGCTCCAGCACAGACTTGCTGTAGAGAAACAAAAGATCTTCACTGTGGTCTCTGTTTTTCACACACATGGGTTATACACTTCTGCAGAGTCTATTTGAATGTTACAGAACTTAAGAGAATATCTTGGTGGATATAAACACCACCCTGCACATGGCTCCTTCTGAATCCCTTCAGTGCCTGACTAACTGCTGCTACAGAATCTCTGAGCTTGGCTGTTTGCTTGCAGACATTGCATTCAGTACCCAACTAGATAACGTCATCATCCATGTGGTTTGTTTACAAATGTGACAGGGATAGTCCATTTAATCTCAGAGTTTGTCTAATGGACTTAGTTCTTTTCTTCATGTGTTCTATTTTATTTTAATTTAATTACTTATCATTTGTTTGTTTTACATACCTTCTGCATTGGCCATATAGTCTTGGGGCCATATCTGTCTATGTCCAAGTTTACTAGACAGAGACGGCACGATTTGCTAAGCAAGAGTTACACACAAATCATCAAATTGCTGATTTAGTGAATAAAGTCATGCTAACTTTATTCATGACTAAGTTCCATTGGTCTATTGGTGGAAGCCAAAGCTAGAATCAAGGAATTGGTAAGAATGGTTTATTTGGTGCTAAGATTGACCATATATTTGATATTGTGCAGCAGCTGTGTGTTACAGTGCACAAGAAGGGTCCATATCAACCCTATTTAGTCTCTTCTCATACCCATCTCTTGTCCTTCTATGCCCCAACCTCTGACAATCAGACTTTCAGATGGACTTCTTTTAGTTCCTGGGTTGAGGGACTTTGATGTCTGTCAGTACTATCTTACACAATAGAGCCACAGATGTCAGATGGTTTCAGTTATTACCTGTCAGGTTCAGCCCAAGAAACTCCACAAGATGGTTCTGGAATTGCTTAGTTACTTTATTAGCTTATACCTGCTAGACAAAATCTTGCCAGACTAACTCTAACTCCCAAAGTCTGCAACTAAACACTACGAATTCCTTAGG